GAAAGATATAATTGCAGTTAATCAATCTTGTGTACTGGGAATATGAAGTCTTTTTATATTGTTAAAAATAAAAGTAGATTTTCTTAATTGCCCATTATACTTGTCACACAACAGCATTTTCTCCCTCCATTATGTGCGGTGCCTTTACTAAAGCTCTTTCCTCTTGAAGTGTTTGATATAATGGTTAAATATTGATGAAAATGGCAATTCAATGAAGTGTAGTAATAAAAATTGATGCAATGACAACTCGTAATAGCCTTAATTTTGCCTAATTAGATCATTATCTGAATTTGCAACACCTTCTAGATACCCAAGATACGATATTTTACTGATCGGACTTGGAGTTACTCTTGCTAACATTGGCTTGAAAAGTGGATTGGAGGTATATCTTGTAAAGATTCTCCCTTATACATTTTTTCACTCAAAGATCTTCCTTTTCTTCTGGATTACACATGATCACTATTTCATGGGCAAAGTTACGGGAGCAAATTTCACAAAATTTTAATTGTGGGGGTAAATTTGAATATTATAAGGATTTTTTATTTATTTTTAAATCTTGTGCAAAATCTTGAAAAATTTATTGCAAAATCTTGAATTTTAAATTTTCTGTGGGATCAACGGACCCACTGCCCCCATTGTAGATCCACCCACGATCATGCATACAATATGATTGATGGATCATAAATTGTGCATTTGTCAAATTTGCATGCTCAAGGATGGCTCCACCCACGAGATACTTTAGATGAATATTATCATCTCAAAATGAATCTGATTCATGTTCTGTATCTCGTGTAGTTCATTGGAGTTGATCCATTACAAGTTGGTAATATTGTTCAGTTAGTCCTAGTATTGGAGCTTATGGCTGGATGGATTTCTACTTATATGTCCTTGTTTGAGTCCCATTTTTTTGGAAAAATACATTTTAATAGTATTTTGACTCATTTCAACCACACATTGTTCAATAAAATAATATTACACGCAAATTCAATTTTTTTTTTTCATTTTTGAACCACACATTTCGCATTAATACACTATTTAAAAATCCATTCTTCCCAAAAAAATGGGGCTCAAAAAAGGGTATATTCCGAGTTTCAAACAAGAAAATGACATATGCTCAATAGTAGCGCGATTATGAAGACAAAGTCATGTAGGTTATACCGTCCTAAAACCGTAAAAGTTTAGAAGCTATTTTCTCATTCGCTCGTGGTATAATTTGCTTTCTAAATTCTGGAAAGTTCATAGGCTCATAGCAAAAACAACAAACTATTGGGTGTTTGAAAGTGAAAATCTTTGCAATTTCTTTATTGGAAAAATAAGAATTAGATTGCCTATCTAACTGATTGCGAGTAATCAAGGGGGGAAGACGTCTTGTTATTTTTTTGGACTTATTCACAAAAATTATTAGAGCTTTGGTGTTGCGTCGTCCAATGTGATGTTCGTATTCTGTAACTAATGGAATATCAACCATCTTTTGCTCTGAATTTAAATTTGTACGTCCAAGATCTTTTGTCCTTACTTAAGTTGTGAATAAGTTTGAAACGGATACTTTTTAACTTTATAGAAAAGATTAGAAAGCTTGAGAGAAGCAGAGTTAGTAGCATTGCTTGAAAAGGTTGAGGAAGAGAAGAAACCGCGTGCTTGCTGGAGAGCAATATATCAAATAAAATGTGGTACTGTAGTTTTTGACACTTAGTGAAATAGTCGAGAAAAATTGAGTCTAGAACTGTTGATGTATAAATAGTTTTGTAAAATGTCACTATCATGCTAAATAATCTAATAGGGACTAGATAAATTTCAAGGCATTTTGTATTTATATAGTAATCAATCATAGATGGTTGTTCAACCCCTTCTTTTCCTGAATGAAATGTTAAAATTTCAGCATTGGTCCTCAATGTATTGTTCTAGTGGCAAGTTGGTGCCCAATCTATAAATAGTAACAAGTTGAATTTCAATCTTTCATTGTAGTAGCACATTTAGTCCTGAAAATGTCTACATCTCCACTAATCATAATGTGATCTTCAAGTAATAATATTGAACCATATATTTCTTGGCATCAAATGCAATCCAATTTATCAAATGAAATCTTGACCCCAATGATGGGCATTTGAGAGTCTCCAGATGATTTAATAGAATGGGGACGAATTGTGCAATTATAGTGAATTTCAAATATTAACCTACTTACTTTTATCAAGACCAATTTAATACTTGAACAATAAAATAGGGTGCAATTTCCAGAAGCATAGTCTTTTCTTTCCTAATTCCTTTCTAATTCTCCGAGAATTTCGGAAACTATTTTTATCTCCATTATGTCCAACTCGATTGGGAGTGCGAATTAATTTTATTTGTTCAAATAATAATGCAAAAATATACATGTATGTTACTTCGTTAATCCTTTACACATCAAGTAATAACAAATTTTCCAACTGTCCCTTGCAATTCAAACAGGATAGGGATGTCTCAGTTAATCAGGAAATTAGGGGTGGGGCGTGGAATGCAGTAAAAGCCCTTCCTCAAGTGGGGAACAGGCTCCCATGTGGAATTCTCTCCGACCGTTAGCTCCGTTTGCCTACCGTCATTTCAGAACTACTTTTTTTTTTCTTTTTCAAACTCATTTTCAACAATACATTCTTACTATAAAATATTGAAAAAAACTGGAGATCCCGGGATTCAGTCCAAGGGCCGAGGTGGCAAAACCCTGACCCCTGATGTAAAAGGGGCGGGCCCCCACATCTGTGAAGATCCAGGGTCGAGGTGGCCGAGGTGCTGCCACCTCGACCCTGGATCTTCACAACCTTGGAACGTATCTCGGGTTCTAAAGCATCACTCTAAAATATTTTGCATGTATACCCAATATTTTTCATACTTTTTAATCACATTCTCCAGAATTTACTATTTAAAAACTAATTTTCTCTTAATGATGCTAGACAAACATATACTTATTTCTTTTTATTTTTTTTTTAAGTTTAAATGGTATTTAAAAATTAAAAAGTTCAAACTGGGAAATGGGGAGAGAAATTGTGGCCTTGCCTCCCCATAAGTAAGACTGGCTACTCTATTCTTGTCCCATTCTGCTGGTGTCCCTACGTAGTATGCAATTGCTTATGTACACATTTATTAACCATGTGCGTCACACCACGTAACATGAAGTTGCTTATGCATGTACATTTTTTATATCAAAACCACTTAAATTTTCATTTGTGTGTATTACCCTTTACAAGCTGCTTCAAAGCCTGGGATTAAATCTCCAGTTTGGCTCCAGGGCCAAGGTGTTGCCACCTTGACCCTCGATCTTGCATCACATGGGGCCGCATGAATTCAAATCAGCAGCCGAGGTGGCACGATCTCGACCCCTGGAGCCAATCCTAAGATTTAATCTCGGGATTTCTAGCATTTTTCTCCCCTTTAACCTTCCCTATCCTCACACATCTTTTCATAATTAAATACTTCTTATAATTAATTCATTTATTCTCCTCAGGCAAACGCACCCTTAAACCACCAGCTGGCCCCATTTTTACCACGTGTCCCCATCACCCTACCCATTGGTCCAACTCTAATCCAATTATTTAGCATCAAAATTACATAGGATCCTCATCTATTGAAGATATAGCAACTAGGTTCCAACCTAATACTTTGGCAGCCTCAATCCGTAACCTTTCACTTTATAGGTTCCCATGATGAAAAACTCAAATTTTGTTAAGATACACCTTGATGTTTAATTATAGGGAAAAAAAAATAACGAACATAAAAATCAATATAAGATGGTTGGTTCAAAGACAACACGAATTTGGAGGGTTTATTGAGGAAAAGTGATGGAAATGTAGTATTTTCGCATTATGAATAATGGGATATGCGAAAATTATGTACATGCCTAACCTTATGTCACCGTTTCGGATTTGAGAAGATACGGATAGAATTAGGTTCCAAGGGCAACATTCAAATTACCAAAAAGAAATATGGCCCATGGAATGTGCAATGAACTTTAGAAAAAAATTCCTTTTTTTTTTTTTTGAGCTAAGAACGTCTTATGTAATATTTTTCTCATTTATGAAGAGAAGGCAATGGTACTACTACTGATTAGCTTGAAAACACAAACTACAAATAAAATATCATCAAAACTATTCAATCTCATGAGCTTATTGGAGAATTATCAGGGATTATGTGATCGAAAAAACGGAGTAATGCCAAATTTGTGAAAGTAAGGCTCGATATATTGGCACACGATGATGTTAAACTTCGTAATTATTCTATTTTTATTTTCTCTGATGTAAAAAATAGCATAAAATAGTTTTACTTTTTTAATCATCTATCATATTTGAAAGAAAGGTAACATGTCTACTTTCGCATACCTTTTTCTGCTATTAATATACTAGGGTATGTGTAATGTCAAATTCGCCGTACATGTATAAGTAAGGCTGGTAAGCAGACCTAAAAATCCTTACCAAAATGAAATGGATTTCAATTAATAAAACACCACCTAAAAATCCTTGCCAAAAATAAATGGACTTCAATAAATAAAATCAAGAATAGAATATATGATAACGGTTGGTGAATTTTGTGCTTATTTTATTTTTCCTTTCTTTCAACCTTTGTTCAGTTAAAAATAAAGATAAAATCGTCTTCTTTCTAATAGAGTAATGTTATTTAGCCTTATTGAGGTTACAACCCCAATCTAAATGGGGCTAAATAATAGACTGAATAAAAGATAAAATTAAATGATTTGTTTAATTTTACATATCATTTAATACTTATTAATGCTATCTAGACTGGGATTGCAATCCCAATTGTGTTACTTAGCATTATCGTTCAAGAAAACTGAGTTTTAAATCAATGATAAGGGTAGGACTGCCTGTTGAGGATTTGATTGCTATGAAAATAAAAAATTGGGGACTGAATCCACCAGAATAATAGTTACTACATTACTAATAGAATAGATTAGAGACCAAGATGTAAATTTGGGAACTATTTTGCCTCTTCAATCAATCATTAACCCCCACATTTCACGCGCATAAACACACAAAATGGCTCTTTCTCTTCTCCCTTCAATTCCCCCCAAACCCCCCTTTCCTCAACCTTAATTCATCCTTCTCCCTTGCTAATATAAGTTTAAATGCATGTATACATACTTATGAACCCTAATTATTTGATATATGGAATTATATGTATGTAGGTGATTGATGGCGATTGTCACAGGGGATAGATACTTGGAATCTTTAGTGAAATTCGTGGAAAACAACACAGAACCGTTAATTGAAGGAACCCTTGTGTTGAAATTGAACCCCGTGGGGCTTCGGTATGTGCAATCGAGGCTTGAGGCTTTGGCGGAGCTGGAGAGTTTGTTGGCCGGAGCTCCGGTGGATTATCTGCGTGCGTATGTTTCCGACTTGGGTGATCACCGGGCGCTGGAGCAGCTCCGGAGAATTCTGCGGTTGTTACCGTCATTGAAGGTGGTTTCGATGTTGCCTCCGCCGGGGAGGGATCCTACGCCGCTGTATTTGTTGCCGTTTGGGAGGTTGAAGATTCTGGAGATCAGGGGATGTAATCTCTCGGCCTCGGCTGCCAGGGGGTTACTCGAATTGAGACATACTTTGGAGAAGTTGATCTGCCACAATTCTACTGTGAGTTTTTACTTAAAGGAAAATTTGTGTTTATCTGGTGATTTGATTAGATTATTTTTTATAACAGAAGATTTTGTTTGATGTATATTAATTTTCACTGTTTGATGTACTGCAATTTTATTGAGTGTTGGTATATGTTTTTCCTTCGAATTGGATTAGGATGCATTGAGGCATATATTTGCAAGTAGAATTGCGGAGATAAAGGATTCACCGCAATGGAACCGGTTGTCGTTTATTTCATGTGCGTGTAATGGCTTGATGCTTATGGACGAGTCTTTGCAGCTTCTTCCAGCTGCTGAAACCATCGATCTCAGTAGGAACAAATTTGCAAAGGTGGATAATCTTCGGAAGTGTACCAAATTGAAGCACCTGGATCTTGGATTTAATAACCTGAGAAGTATTGCATCATTTAGTGAGGTAACTGAATCAAAATTTAAAATTGCATGATCTTTTTTCTTTTTCTAATTCTTGGTGGTTTTTATAAATTTTTGGGGACTATTTTTGTTATCTTTCATTGGAGTTTTAACCATCAAATTTGGATCACTATTAATCAGTCATCTGCCTAGAAATTTGTTTTGTGATTGGGTGCTTGATCATATATACCATTAATTATAATGAAGCTAGGTTTATAATATCGTCTTTGATTCACTTGCTGGGTAACCAGTGTTTAAAATTGGTAAACACTCCCCCCTCGTTTTTTTCTTGAAGTTCATTGCATTCTTCTGATGTGCTAGAAGTGAGAGAACAGAAAGCCTTACAAGGACAAAAAATCCAAAACACATACATGCATATCTCATATGACCAAAATAGTAGGTTCGTTCTTTCTGAGGGCTTTGTCATGATTAATTTGCATTGAATACATCACTAGATGGATGTCTCTTGCTAATAGTGGAGTTTATCACGCAATTAACTTACATTGTTAATCATCAGTCTCTTACACTCCCGTCATAGAGCTTCAGTCAATTAACTTTTTCATTGATGCATAAGTTGCTTCACTCGTACTTTGGCCTTAAGCCATATAATTCTGTAGTTCGTATTCCTATTTAGAAAACATTTTGGACCCTCTTCACTTGTTGGTTTATGCAGGTCTCGTGTCAAATTGTAAAACTCGTGCTGAGGAACAATGCTTTAACCACATTGCGAGGGATTGAGAATTTGAAGTCACTTGAAGGGCTTGATCTTTCCTTCAACGTTATTTCAAACTTCTCTGAGATAGAGATCCTTGCTGGCCTTCCATCTCTTCAGAGCTTATGGTTGGAAGGAAATCCTCTTTGTTCTGCAAGATGGTACCGCTCCCAAGTTTTTAGCCTTTTCCTTCATCCAGAAAAAGTAAGCTGTCGCATAATACAACAGCCTATGATTTAATTGTGTTTCTGGAGGTCATTATTTGAAGAAATGCAAGTTTAGGTTACACGATTCATACATGCTATTTGTTCTGCTACAAACTCATGTGGAACTTACATTTCCAATATTTGTGACAATACCTCAGCTTAAGCTGGACGAGAAGAGAATGTCCCCGAGAGAGTTTTGGAAGCGGCAGATTATAGTGGCAAGCCAGCAGAGGCGACCTGCTAGCTTTGGATTCTATTCACCAGCCAAAGGTGATGCTGGACTGGAGGGGACTATCAATACAAATAGGGTATGAAACCGTTCCATGCTAATCTATCCCCTGATTCATTACATTCAGTTTCTTTTTGTAATTATTTACCTGAGTATTTACTTACATGATCTCTTTAGTACTTTTTAATTTTGATTGTACTCATCGCAGAGGAAGATCTCTCGTCTTGTCAGTATCGAGAGTGAAGAGCAGAGCACATATATATATTCGGACCAAGATTCAGTGTCGTGTGATAATGAGATTCAAACCAAAGAGGATAATGATATTACAGATGAGGAAGCTGAAATAGCAGATTTCATGAGAAGAATTGAATTAATGAAAAAAGAAAGGTCTGTTTTATGGTTGCAGGAATTCAAAGAATGGATGAATCAAGCTTCTGACAATTTTGTTGATGACAGCAAATGTGGCCGTGGGAGCCGAATTTTAAGTAATAATAGAGAGATTCATATGAAAAGTGAGGCAATAGATGAGAATCTTGGAGCGAGCTCGAGATATATCTCGGACTCTGTTCAGCTTTCTGGGGATGAGAGTAGTACAGTTGTTCTAGAATCTGAAACCTCCTTTGTGGACACATCCACAGTTGTCAGTGCCCAGCAGTACTTCAACCGAATTGGTGAAGTAGCTTCAAAGTTTTTCATGGGTCATGCAAGTGGGGATAGATCTGTTGTCAAAAGTACGGGTCTGAATCATGAACATACAACATTCTTAAATGATGGACACCTGTCTGCAGATACTAGAAACTCACCTCTTAAATCACTGGGAATCTCCAGAGGTAAAGATGTGAGTGCTAAGAATATAAATAGCTATTCAGTAGCAATTGATGATATTATTGTATCTCGTTCTTCATCAGCTTGCCCTGGATCTCCTCCTCATTACCAAGCAGACATTTTGCATCGGCGCCAAAACTTAGAAGAAGAATTTCTTCAGCTATCTGCAGAATCCTTCTCGGTGGCATCTTCTGATAGCAATACAAGTTGTAGTGATGATGATTCTGGTGAAATTGGTGCTTCTAAAACTCAGGTTGATCAGTCTATGATCAACAAAATATCTGGAAGTGGTTTGAATGGCTACTTTTCTGCTTCTCAGTCTGGTGATGCTGACCAAGGTGAAAGGTCCAAACTGAAAGAAAATGGGACTCACACTTCAGATTCAAGCGTGGAAGGAAATTCTAATAATATTTCAGTTAGAGAGCTGGATAGGTCCACCTATACAAGTAGCAATTTTACTGATGGTGTGCATGATGGTGAAATTGTAAGTTCTCTGAAACAGGAAGCTGATTGGTTGGAGAAGAAAAAATTCAAAAGGAAACCAAAAAAGAGAATGATTTCGTTACCAGAGGAGGATGGCCATGGTGACTCTGACTCATCGAAGAAATCCAATGATAATGTGGAAAAATGCAGAAATGATAAGGAACTTGAAAAAGAAATCTGTTGTGCTACTGGTGACTTGCAGAAGCCATGTGCTGAGAAAAATACCTGTGAAAGCACTACAAATGATTACAGGGGACACCATTCTGGAGTCACTTCGTCAAATAGTGGGAAAGATGATGTTATTGAGAGCTATTTTAATTTGAACATTGCAGATTCTGGGTCTTGTGAAACTTGTACACAGTATACATGTTGCAACTGTCTGTTCCAGGAAAAATCAGGTCATTTTGAAAGGTAAATGCTTGGAGACGATAATTATTTGAGATGTAAATGTTCTGTTGGTTATATGATTTTTTTGCTGCTTTCTCTTACCCTTTTGGTAATTTTACTTTAGGGTGTGGTAGGACTTCATACTATGAAGCTTGTAAGATTTACTATGCTTAAAAGGTTTCCATTCTGGCTCTCAATAGATTATTTTTCTGAAGAAATGGGGTTTTGAGGTTGCTTTTGGAGTAAAAGTCAGCCTTAAGGAACATGGCTTTTATTTTTGCATTTCATTTGATTATTTGTTTATCTGTTTTCATGGTGAAACCTCCAATGAGTGGTAAAGGGTATACATCGTGAACATGCATAACATTTTGGACGATCTTTCTAAATGACCAATTGCAATCAGATCGCCCAAAAACCTGTAAAGGAGCCTCTAGTTGATGGTGAAGTTAAGGAATTAGTCTTTTACACCATTATCAATTAACTTTATGGCCATTCTGTCAGCCTCATTAGTCATATCAATGTTAATTAACTACTTCTGTTTACCTGTACGTGTGTGTATGTTTTAAGCTTGTTAACCGTAGTATGCACCAATCTCTAGCCTAGATACTATTTTCCCCCAACTTTACATGTACAGGGAAGTGGCTATATTAAGGAGCAGTAAAGACAAGTTGTACGTATTAATCATTGTCGAGGCATGTGATGGGTCAGGTTAGCTTTGTTGTGGTATGAGCTATTTGCAGCTGTGAATAATATTTCTTCTGTTCAATATTTCCTCTGTCAATTAAATTCTGCTTATCTTGTTGCTTTGTTTGATAAAACTTGCAGCAACAACATTAGAAATGGTGGGTTGTCATGGCGTTGGAGATGTTAGAGACGCCTACGTTGGATTAGGAGTTCAAGTTGTAAGGTTGATAACTTCCAATCACTTCTGAAAGCCTGCCTGCTCCGAATTTCTAACAGCATGCGTATTTTGTGCTTTTATTAGGGTGTGCTTTGATGGCAATGCTGCATATCTGTTCATAACAAGGTGCATAGAGAGATCAAGAGAATTGCTATGGGTTTTGGAATTCTTTGATTTGTGTGGGATAAAAGATTATTGCTCCCTGACAAGGTGATTTTTAATTTGTCTTTTTCCTGTGATGTGAAAATTTGAAAAAAAAAAAGAAAAAAGAAAAAAAGAAGAAGGTGCTTGTGTTGATGTTCTGACGGGTTGTATGATTTCTTCTTATTATTGGATGGGTTATGGAAATTTTGAATGGCAGCTTGGAGCAGATCCAGGTTCATCTTTTAGAGCAGCATGTTTGTGGATGTTCAAATATAAACATTTTTCAGTACTCAATGGTTCTCTTTTGGCAGAACAACTTGAAAGGTACAAGATGTGAATGTTCTATGTGATTTGCCTTGATCTTCATGATAAAAGTGCTAGGGTAAAATACTATTTTAATCAAATATGAGAGTTTGAGAAATTAGTTAAACAAAGGAAATGAAATTAGTTGAATAAAAAAATAAATGAAATTAGTTTGACATAATTTTTATTTAATTGATAGTTTTAATAAATATTTTTCATTTTTGATCAAATTCACTCTCTTCAGAATGATCAGCCAACTGTTTTAGAAGATGAAATTGTCAGGGTGCTAGGTGCATAAGTCTTGATGGCTAATTGTTTCCCTTGTGGGATGATAAACACAGGCTTTATCTGTGGGCTTGCCAGGGATGTGGGGGCACTTGTAGTATCCCTGTGTCCTGGATTTGCTGGATGCTCTATTTGGCCTAGATGTTTGCCAGGGGTGGGTGCGTGGTTTTAAATGTTAAAAAATACACACATTTATGTATATGCTATAAATTGAGATCATTATTGAAAGTTAGGTGTGATGTCAGTAATTTTTTTTTGAAAGAACTGCTTTCTGGACAAAATTTATTTCCATGGAATTGTGTCTAGAGTAGTCTTGTCAATTGATCATCCTGCGTTAGGCATGGTGCACAAAGTACAGGATTGCCTTTTTTCCCTCCCTTTTTATAGGACAATGTGAATGATACTTCATAGTGTATTATATTGTTAAAAAAAAAAAAGAAAAAAGAAAAAAAGAAGAAGGTGCTTGTGTTGATGTTCTGACGGGTTGTATGATTTCTTCTTATTATTGGATGGGTTATGGAAATTTTGAATGGCAGCTTGGAGCAGATCCAGGTTCATCTTTTAGAGCAGCATGTTTGTGGATGTTCAAATATAAACATTTTTCAGTACTCAATGGTTCTCTTTTGGCAGAACAACTTGAAAGGTACAAGATGTGAATGTTCTATGTGATTTGCCTTGATCTTCATGATAAAAGTGCTAGGGTAAAATACTATTTTAATCAAATATGAGAGTTTGAGAAATTAGTTAAACAAAGGAAATGAAATTAGTTGAATAAAAAAATAAATGAAATTAGTTTGACATAATTTTTATTTAATTGATAGTTTTAATAAATATTTTTCATTTTTGATCAAATTCACTCTCTTCAGAATGATCAGCCAACTGTTTTAGAAGATGAAATTGTCAGGGTGCTAGGTGCATAAGTCTTGATGGCTAATTGTTTCCCTTGTGGGATGATAAACACAGGCTTTATCTGTGGGCTTGCCAGGGATGTGGGGGCACTTGTAGTATCCCTGTGTCCTGGATTTGCTGGATGCTCTATTTGGCCTAGATGTTTGCCAGGGGTGGGTGTGTGGTTTTAAATGTTAAAAAATACACACATTTATGTATATGCTATAAATTGAGATCATTATTGAAAGTTAGGTGTGATGTCAGTAATTTTTTTTTGAAAGAACTGCTTTCTGGACAAAATTTATTTCCATGGAATTGTGTCTAGAGTAGTCTTGTCAATTGATCATCCTGCGTTAGGCATGGTGCACAAAGTACAGGATTGCCTTTTTTCCCTCCCTTTTTATAGGACAATGTGAATGATACTTCATAGTGTATTATATTGTTATCATGGCTGTTTCTGCATAATTTATTCACCTTCCCTGCTGAAGGATGAACCGGTTAACTGCTTTGCAGATTAGAGTATTTTCTAATTTGATGTTTCCTTATTTTGATGGGATATATACATTCTTGTTCTCATCATTTCTCTCGTTATTGGATGAGGATGGGAGGACGAGCAGTTTAACCCTTTCTGATGTCCTGTTTTCTTTATTTTCGTTCACAATTGGCCAGAAGATTTGTGGCTTTCAAGGTCGCTGTTCATTGTTGGAGGACAGTTGCTTGTCTGCATTGAGGACCTTGAGCAGTTTGGCCCCACTGAGCTTGCATCTTCTAATTATTTTTCGCTGGATTCAAGTTGTGCCATTGTTAATATCTCAGAGATGGTAATTTTTATAAATGCTCCTACCACTATAGCATTTATTCAAGTTTTATCGTATATTTTGTAGGTTTTAATGTCAATAAGCTATTATAGCTTATTTGAAGTTGTTATTCTTATGATATTTTAGGGTGTGTTTGATTGCAAGCATGGAATTTACATGGAAAAAAATAAGTTTTAGGCAATTCAACTGGGCTTATGTAGATCCCAAGTTACTTGGCATTTTTCTTCCGGTTTTTCGAGCTACTGCAAATTTGAGTTTGCTTAGCTGATATCTCAATTGTGTTATTTTGGTTGTGACCTTCAAGTAGAGCTCTTGCAGCTTGAATATCATGTAATTTTGATTCATTCGATATTTTATCCATAGATTATGTTCGAGTGAAACTCACCGAAGAAAACTGTTTTTACTTTTCCAGGTCATTGATACTCTGGATGGCCTCTGCGTGACCCTGGCTCTCAATTGTACATCAGAGTTACGTCCTGTACAGAAAGAATGCACTGTAAAGGATGCTGCAGTTATCAAGAAAGGGCCGGTTTCAGGTCCCGTAATGTGGAAACTGAAGTGGTTCTCGGAAGGGAGTCTTTTCAAGTTTGTGGCATTACTGAAGGCAATCCATGCTCAGGCAACTTCTTCTTCTTCACTATTAGTAAAATATATCTCGTGATTGAAAATGGGATTATCGTATATTTGAAAATTAAATTTCTTTGATTCTTTTGGTGTGGGGTGTCTCCATTTCCAGTTTCACAGTTTATATTATCTGATTTGTTGTAGAAAATGTATGGTGTACAGTGTAGTTGTCAAATGAAATGTGGATAGTTTTCAGTTATATTGAAGTGTAAACACAGGAGAGATTTTAGTATTTTTCCTTGCATGGCTTTAGTTTAGTGAATGGAACAATACTTGGTATATAGCTGGTAAAGAGCATTGGATCCTTGGTTACAAAATGTTTGAGTGTGCCATGTAGGACGACTACGCTAGTAAGTGCCTGCAAATAGTATTATTCATTTTAAATCTATATTCTACATTATACAATATAGTTCTTACAATTTTTATATTAGCTCATTTATTGTGTAATTTTGGGTTTTATTTTCTCTATTTTCTTATTTGTTTTTTTTTCTGTTCATCATATGAATTTTTGAATAGTGTATTGATGGGAAATGTGTGGTTAAAAAATAAGGAAAAGTTTTTGATTTGCGTTGAAGAATGTATGGTTGAAATGATGTCAAATCATTGTTGAAGAATGTATTTTGGTTGAAAAATGACCCTCAAACAAGGGCCTAATATAATTATATTAATTCTATTTGACCCTTTTCTTATATATGTTATTCCAATATTAAATAGATTATAGCAGATTGTTGAACATTAGTTGACTTCAACGAAATGGTTAGCGCTTGCCCAAAAAAGTACTCCAGCTCCGTCATTAGGTCAATGATGTCCCAATTCTTGATGATATGTGAGATGACTATGGGAGCACGAATTCAATTGATTTGGATGATATTAAAAACGAAACATTGGCAATAGTTTCAAGCAGTAAACAAAATTGAAGATACTGAGTGTTGGGAATATTTCAAACTGATGGTCACGAGTACAATAGTAGATGGACAGTCAGAAAACTCAATGTAAATACTGCAAAGAGAAGTGATTGGCTAAAGGATATCAACCAGGCACTACAAAACATTATAGTCGAACTCGGATCTCCGAAAACTATATTATCAACTCTAATTTGATCATCCTGGTGGTGAAAGTTCTTGTTCTAGTCTTGACAATTGAGGCTATTCTCTAGTGGCAATGCACTGAGGCATGACGATGTTCATGGTCAGGAATGAATTTTTGCTTAGAACAGTGGAAAGTAAACGCTTAACAACACTCATAAAAAATATCTTCAACCCAGATATAAATTCTATTTAAAAACACTTCGTTAAAATTCTATTAATTTGTGCAATAAAAAGCTTGGATGATAGTTGATGAAAGTTAACATACTGAAGTTTTATTATTTACATCCGACATATTATATGGTCTTGTAATAACCATAGAGGTAACATAGTTGTTACTGCACATTATATGATAAAACTATGGATAATGAATAAAAGTTATTGCTTTCAAAGCAATAGAATTTTCCCATAATGGTCTTGATATTTTTTATGTTTTAATGATTATTACTGGTTAAGTGGCTCATATTTGGGATCTGAAATTTTGTATTCGATTGGAATTGAGATTTACGGGCTTCACATTGGCCGTGGTGGCCAATTGGCTGAAGGTGGTGGTGGTGACGTGGAAGGAAGAAGGGGGTGGGTGGGGGTGGTTGTGGGTGGTGAAAGGAGGTTGGCCAAGGTTTGGAAAAGAACGTGACATTTTTTATATTTTATCTTAACTTCAAAAAAAAAAAGAAAAAAGAAAAAAAGAAGAAGGTGCTTGTGTTGATGTTCTGACGGGTTGTATGATTTCTTCTTATTATTGGATGGGTTATGGAAATTTTGAATGGCAGCTTGGAGCAGATCCAGGTTCATCTTTTAGAGCAGCATGTTTGTGGATGTTCAAATATAAACATTTTTCAGTACTCAATGGTTCTCTTTTGGCAGAACAACTTGAAAGGTACAAGATGTGAATGTTCTATGTGATTTGCCTTGATCTTCATGATAAAAGTGCTAGGGTAAAATACTATTTTAATCAAATATGAGAGTTTGAGAAATTAGTTAAACAAAGGAAATGAAATTAGTTGAATAAAAAAATAAATGAAATTAGTTTGACATAATTTTTATTTAATTGATAGTTTTAATAAATATTTTTCATTTTTGATCAAATTCACTCTCTTCAGAATGATCAGCCAACTGTTTTAGAAGATGAAATTGTCAGGGTGCTAGGTGCATAAGTCTTGATGGCTAATTGTTTCCCTTGTGGGATGATAAACACAGGCTTTATCTGTGGGCTTGCCAGGGATGTGGGGGCACTTGTAGTATCCCTGTGTCCTGGATTTGCTGGATGCTCTATTTGGCCTAGATGTTTGCCAGGGGTGGGTGTGTGGTTTTAAATGTTAAAAAATACACACATTTATGTATATGCTATAAATTGAGATCATTATTGAAAGTTAGGTGTGATGTCAGTAATTTTTTTTTGAAAGAACTGCTTTCTGGACAAAATTTATTTCCATGGAATTGTGTCTAGAGTAGTCTTGTCAATTGATCATCCTGCGTTAGGCATGGTGCACAAAGTACAGGATTGCCTTTTTTCCCTCCCTTTTTATAGGACAATGTGAATGATACTTCATAGTGTATTATATTGTTATCATGGCTGTTTCTGCATAATTTATTCACCTTCCCTGCTGAAGGATGAACCGGTTAACTGCTTTGCAGATTAGAGTATTTTCTAATTTGATGTTTCCTTATTTTGATGGGATATATACATTCTTGTTCTCATCATTTCTCTCGTTATTGGATGAGGATGGGAGGACGAGCAGTTTAACCCTTTCTGATGTCCTGTTTTCTTTATTTTCGTTCACAATTGGCCAGAAGATTTGTGGCTTTCAAGGTCGCTGTTCATTGTTGGAGGACAGTTGCTTGTCTGCATTGAGGACCTTGAGCAGTTTGGCCCCACTGAGCTTGCATCTTCTAATTATTTTTCGCTGGATTCAAGTTGTGCCATTGTTAATATCTCAGAGATGGTAATTTTTATAAATGCTCCTACCACTATAGCATTTATTCAAGTTTTATCGTATATTTTGTAGGTTTTAATGTCAATAAGCTATTATAGCTTATTTGAAGTTGTTATTCTTATGATATTTTAGGATGTGTTTGATTGCAAGCATGGAATTTACATGGAAAAAAATAAGTTTTAGGCAATTCAACTGGGCTTATGTAGATCCCAAGTTACTTGGCATTTTTCTTCCGGTTTTTCGAGCTACTGCAAATTTGAGTTTGCTTAGCTGATATCTCAATTGTGTTATTTTGGTTGTGACCTTCAAGTAGAGCTCTTGCAGCTTGAATATCATGTAATTTTGATTCATTCGATATTTTATCCATAGATTATGTTCGAGTGAAACTCACCGAAGAAAACTGTTTTTACTTTTCCAGGTCATTGATACTCTGGATGGCCTCTGCGTGACCCTGGCTCTCAATTGTACATCAGAGTTACGTCCTGTACAGAAAGAATGCACTGTAAAGGATGCTGCAGTTATCAAGAAAGGGCCGGTTTCAGGTCCCGTAATGTGGAAACTGAAGTGGTTCTCGGAAGGGAGTCTTTTCAAGTTTGTGGCATTACTGAAGGCAATCCATGCTCAGGCAACTTCTTCTTCTTCACTATTAGTAAAATATATCTCGTGATTGAAAATGGGATTATCGTATATTTGAAAATTAAATTTCTTTGATTCTTTTGGTGTGGGGTGTCTCCATTTCCAGTTTCACAGTTTATATTATCTGATTTGTTGTAGAAAATGTATGGTGTACAGTGTAGTTGTCAAATGAAATGTGGATAGTTTTCAGTTATATTGAAGTGTAAACACAGGAGAGATTTTAGTATTTTTCCTTGCATGGCTTTAGTTTAGTGAATGGAACAATACTTGGTATATAGCTGGTAAAGAGCATTGGATCCTTGGTTACAAAATGTTTGAGTGTGCCATGTAGGACGACTACGCTAGTAAGTGCCTGCAAATAGTATTATTCATTTTAAATCTATATTCTACATTATACAATATAGTTCTTACAATTTTTATATTAGCTCATTTATTGTGTAATTTTGGGTTTTATTTTCTCTATTTTCTTATTTGTTTTTTTTTTTCTGTTCATCATATGAATTTTTGAATAGTGTATTGATGGGAAATGTGTGGTTAAAAAATAAGGAAAAATTTTTGATTTGCGTTGAAGAATGAATGGTTGAAATGATGTCAAATCATTGTTGAAGAATGTATTTTGGTTGAAAAATGACCCTCAAACAAAGGGCCTAATATAATTATATTAATTCTATTTGACCCTTTTCTTAGATATGTTATTCCAATATTAAATAGATTATAGCAGATTGTTGAACATTAGTTGACTTCAACGAAATGGTTAGCGCTTGCCCAAAAAAGTACTCCAGCTCCGTCATTAGGTCAATGATGTCCCAATTCTTGATGATATGTGAGATGACTATGGGAGCACGAATTCAATTGATTTGGATGATATTAAAAACGAAACATTGGCAATAGTTTCAAGCAGTAAACAAAATTGAAGATACTAAGTGTTGGGAATATTTCAAACTGATGGTCACGAGTACAATAGTAGATGGACAGTCAGAAAACTCAATGTAAATACTGCAAAGAGAAGTGATTGGCTAAAGGATATCAACCAGGCACTACAAAGAATTATAGTCAAACTCGGATCTCCGAAAACTATATTATCAACTCTAATTTGATCATCCTGGTAGTGAAAGTTCTGGTTCTAGTCTTAACAATTGAGTCTATTCTCTAGTGGCAATGCACTGAGGCATGACGATGTTCATAGTCGGGAGTGAATTTTTGCTTAGAACAGTGGAAAGTAAACGCTTAACAACACTCATAAAAAATATCTTCAACCCAGATATAAATTCTATTTAAAAACACTTCGTTAAAATTCTATTAATTTGTGCAATAAAAAGCTTGGATAATAATTGATGCAAGTTAACATACTGAAGTTTTATTATTTACATCCGACATATTATATGGTCTTGTAATAACCATAGAGGTAACATAGTTGTTACTGCACATTATATGATAAAACTATGGATAATGAATAAAAATTATTGCTTTCAAAGCAATAGAATTTTCCCATATTGGTCTGGATATTTTTTATGTTTTAATGAGTATTATTGGTTAAGTGGCTCATACTTGGGATCTGAAACTTTGTATTAGATTGGAATTGAGATTTTGGGGCTTCACATTGGCCGTGGTGGCCAATTGGCTGAAGGTGGTGGTGGTGACGTGGAAGGAAGAAGGGGGTGGGTGGGGGTGGTTGTGGGTGGTGAAAGGAGGTTGGCCAAGGTTTGGAAAAGAACGTGACATTTTTTATATTTTATCTTAACTTCTCTTTTTCTTTGGCTTTTTAATTTATTCATTTCTTTCGATTATTTAAAATTTAAGGGCAAGATTGTCTCTTTATTGATGAGTTCAAAGCATGAGATATTTTAACAAAATAAAAGAATGGATCAAACCAAAAATGATCATTTGCACAAAGAGTGGTTGATTTGAGGGGCCAAATAATAGAAGTGGTGGGGGTGGTTGTGGGTGGTGAAAGGAGGTTGGCCAAGGTTTGGAAAAGAACGTGACATTTTTTATATTTTATCTTAACTTCTCTTTTTCTTTGGCTTTTTAATTTATTCATTTCTTTCGATTATTTAAAATTTAAGGGCAAGATTGTCTCTTTATTGATGAGTTCAAAGCATGAGATATTTTAACAAAATAAAAGAATGGATCAAACCAAAAATGATCATTTGCACAAAGAGTGGTTGATTTGAGGGGCCAAATAATAGAAGTGAAAAGATATGGACGATTTGAGCCTTGAGAACAACACAATATAAACGTCTTGCGCCAATTGCCCTTTGGGCGAGTTTGATTTACCATTGGAAGGAAGAATTGATTACTTTCATTTCCCATGCTTTGATTGTTTTTAATATTTTTCACTTTAAACACTCAAAAAATATATATAAAAAATAATAATAAATAAAATAAGAGCTTTATATTATAAAATTCAGCACACGCTTGATCTTCATTCTTTATAAACTCATTTTCAATTTCATATTCTTTCAATAAAATAATTTTACATGTAAATTCAAAATTTTTAGACTTTCTAACCACATATCCTCCAAAAAAATCACCATTACAAAATCCATTCTCAATAAAAACAGGGCTCAAACAAAAATGCATTTATAAAAATACCAAACTAAACACGTTTTTAGTATTTTACAAAACTGAAAATAGCTTGAAAATATTAAACCGAACGCCCCTAATATTTGCAAATTTCTGTAAGATCTCAAATGAATATTCTAATTATATAAATACAAACATTTGTAATATGTCAGTAAATAAAATTGATAATTCATGAGAAATAGCTGTTGACATCAGCATATTGGCTTCTTCAAGAACAGGAGAGATAAATTGATGATATCTACTGAAATTAAAATAACTATCAGACTGAAAAATGTTGAAATGTAAATTATAACTCCAAAACAATGTTTACAATTGATGAAATATTTTATGCTTCACTTGAAAATGGAACAAATATTGCACTAGATTATCCCGTAGAAACTCTAGGCTTTATCATACTACCTACCTGTCCTTGTCACCAAACTCGGCTGATCGGACGAAACAATAAGTGTCAAAACAGGGCCAATGCTAAAGGCACAGATTAAAATGTAAAATCTATCGATCCTCAGCTCATAAATCTACTTCTTGCTGTAATCCAGACGGTGCAGAGAAAGTATTGCACTATGGGAAAGTCATTCTATCTCCAACTCTTTTTTGGTTTTAGTCTCTTGATAGCCATAAATGTCACTGCAGCTGACAGAGAATACCTTCACAAGACAAAAATGGGTATCAGATAACAGTGTATTACTTGTGCTGCAGAAGATCATAGATAGGTTTATTGTATAGGTCAATAATGAAAAGATAATGTAAGTACAGTTGCCGACTAGAGGACAATGAGAAAATCTTCATTCAAATGATAATCTTTTCAACTCAAATATTCCAGATGTAACCATTTTCTGATTCTAGTTAGACCCTAAATCTCAGCGTGGATGTCAGGTTTCATCGTGGAAAGAGAGTAGGGATTAAGAGGTAAGGAAATTAGTTTCGCTCGCCAAACCAAAATTTAAATCCAAATCCAAGTATTATAGACTTTCAAATATAATAAAGAACCACATTAGTAAAACCTTGAAGTTTCATTTTCTAATTGTGTTTGGAACTAATTTCCTTCTTGTTTCCTCTGGAATAACGACAGATTCTTCATACCATTTCCCTTAATTTTCCTAGCTGAGAAATATGATGAAACCAGATATAAATAGTGAAAGCATGTGTGCATAAGATGATAAAAAATATTGGAAATGAAAGCAGGAATGTAAGTGCAAGAGAATGCATAGCAGCAACAAACACAAGGCAAACAAAACTATCCAGAACCACCTCTTTCCTTTATCATAATTCTTATTCAATGCATCTAGTCTCTGACTCTAACCTCATCCTCGTCGCAACTTAATGAACAGAAGTCTCAGGAGTAATGTGGTAATGCCCAAAAACTATGTAAAAGTAACTATCCAGTTGACTGATGAATGACAAGATGTGAATTTTGCACAGAAGATCCTATGAGTCCCCAAAAAAGCTCAAGCATCACCACGTGCCAACAGGCATGAAGATGAAACAGGAACAGTTTTTCTTTGATATGACATCAGGAAAGGTACTTCTGACAAGTGGAAACTGTTTATAGATGGACATCTTTACTATGTGCCATAGAGTGAAATCTTAATCCAATTTGTTTCAAGTGCATATTGAGCTGGAAATAACATTTAGGCATTGGAAGCATATCCACAACCATCATCATTAAAATCCTCCATAAAGAACAACAGATTGAAGTGAATTGTTATAACTTATACAAGAACTACTATCAATTACGTGCAGAGAATTATGTCTCAGAATTTCAACCATTTTTCACATGCAATGAAACAAACCATCCATGTTAAAAGTGCTAAAAGTAGAACTTCAGTGCGGCCTTATTTGATTCACCTGGATTTTATTCACTTCATGTCCTAACATTTAGTTTTTAGCAATGCAAAGTCTTTTTTTTTTTTATCAGAAATCATTATTTTTTCTTGTTAATCATCTCGCTACATGTGAAATCTAGAATCCCAGATAAAGGCGCAAATGAACCAGCTCAACTATTTTTCAGAAGCTCAAACTCGGATTGATGTCTAGAATAGTCCTAAGAAATGTTCAAACTTGGTTCATTTGTTGTTCAAACTTAGCTAGAATGAGGTAGTGATAAGCTGAACTCAGGTCATACCTCAGCAACTTAATTAATTTACACCAGTATCTGCTATTTATTAACAAGCTAAAGTCACTGTACATTTTTTTTCTCATTCAGGCTTGACTTGCTTGGTCCCGAGCCAAACTAGGCTTGAAAATGACTATTACACGAGCTGAACAAAAACCAACATTTTTTAAATGGGGAAAAATTACCCACCTTCATGGAGGCAATAAGAAATTTGTTAGACTAAAATGCCCTTGACATTGAAAAAATTAAGATGGCTTGGATTATTACATTTTTTCATAATTTTTCAAGATTAACCATTCTTTTCATCAAAACTTTCTAAAAAACCACAAAGTACACCAGCTTGACAAACACTAGTTGACATAAAGTTAGGTTTTAGCTTTCTTGTTCCCTAATATTTAGAACCGTGGGGCACCTTGAGAACAAATAATCTTAATTTATTAGCCAATGGTGTAATAAAATTAAAAATAAATTGGTCAAGCAGATATCACTAGTAGAACGCACTGACAGAATAAATTGACTGACTTGCTGAAAATTTTACTCCTCATAATATGGAAGACTTATCTTCACTCATCCCCATGTCAAAACCAGATGGAAAATATTACATAAATATCATATCCATATCAAGCAAGAATGTGTCAAAACAGTAAAAAATGCACATGCTTTTATAACCACAGATTTATAAAAGTTAGAAAATGAGAGTACCATGTCAATGTATAATTTAGATGGTCCTGTGGCATTACTGAACTACGAATAAGTGTATTAGCATCCTTTGGAACAGGGTAAGGATTGCTGAGGTTGACATTATCATTGATATCTTCAATGTAGAGTGTGTTCTCCGGAAGTCCACAAGTACGAGCAATAGCAGGCACGTCAATGTAAAACCACTGAGAGGTACCGGGATCATTTGCTGGAACAAATATGCTTGGCTTCTCACTGCCACGTACAACTCCAAGAACTTCCACAGAGTTAATAGCTGGAGAGTGCTCCTGAAATATTCAATATAATGTAACTAATTCCAAACAAAATTCACGATTAAGCATCAATAAAAACATCATAAACGTTGTCACAACCTCAACAATGATCGGTTTCTTGGACCAAAAGCGCCACCAAGAGCTTTTTGCACTCTCTTGAGCAGGGGTGGATGCTACACTTGACAGTTCATCATCTTTTGAAACTTTTAATGCCTTGTCTCTCCAACTCCGTGGGACCCATCCTCTATTTACCAATATTGGTGTCTGCAAACTGAAAGAACTTTTAACCGCACAATGAGAAAACAGTGAGCACCATAAAAGAAAATGACATGAAGAGAACATGATCGATCAACATCCTTCATGGAAACATAAATCACATGAGGATCTTTTGAAATACTCCTTGTTCATTCGAATCTAACTACCTAAAATATGTTTCTTTTTCTTTATCTCTTACTACGAATATACACTTATTGTTAAGTGATATTAGACTTAGAAGGATTTCTATCTGAGTTATAAATTTCCATAAGCTGACCTTAGAATCACTTTCCAAAATATCACCTGTTAGGATCATCAGGGCTGGGCAGAAGGGGAGTAATAAGGTAGTATCCATTTTCAGTCACTCCAGAGATACTTCTTGAACGCGGGCCAACATAAATCGATTTCTTCTCATCAAAAAATCCTCTACATTGTACTCTCCTGAACTCCAGAGAGTCAAAGTTTTCACTAGAAGTTGCAATCTTATTACTCTTGAGTGGTTCAAGTCCTAGTCTATTCTGCCTATACTCCAGCATTTTTATCTGCAGAAACAAATAAATAAATCTATGTTATAAATCTTGGCAATTAACTAAATGCAGGACCCGTATCAGGTCATTAACTTTATTGATTTTGAATCTAAAAAAAATGTAAAAACAAACATATCACACTAATAATAATCCTAATAATAATAATAATAATAATAGAGTAAAACTATAACCTTGTCTTGTCTTCTGAATATTTGCCAAGTGCCAAGCCCAAAAGTGATGGCTCCTGGTACAAAAAGCAACACCTTTGACCATGTTGATCTTTCTTTGTTTGAACCTAATTGAAATAATGACACAAAATGCAAAAAGGCCAGATCATTTTAAAGAAAATATTCTCAAATTAAAATCTAAAAGTAGAAAAATGAAAAAGTATATATACCTTGAGGTTGTTGAGGGTCAGTGGAGATACCGGGGGCTGTAGTAGAAAATAGAGAGGAAGGAGGAGGAACCGACTTGGATAAATTGATGGGTCGGAGATTTCTTTCTATTGTTCTGGAGATTGAAGCGGCTGCCATGTTGAAGATGATAAATCTGACATCTGCAACGGCAATTTGTCACTCATTGAATGCAAAATCAAAGGGGTTTAATGCAAAAATCTCTCAGGGTTTTGGGGGTGAGGAAGTTTGGCCTGTGATCAGTTGCAAAGGTGCTATTGAGGATTAAAAAAGTCATTAGACACCATATTTTCAACATGAGCCTTGCTACTTGTACACTACACTCCGGTGTACAAATAGAAAAACCCTTTCAACATTGTCCTAAACGGTTATCATTCATCTTGGAATTATCTATTTGTACAGAATTTTTTGCCCATTTAGTTGACAGAAGCAACGTTGGCAGACTGTGATTAGCAGCCAAAACTGTTTTGTTGGGACAGAAACCAATGGCAAAATGCCATGTAATATTGTGTCAAAGTGCATGTATGGATTTTCTGTACACATAGCAAGCCTCTTAAGTTTTTTTGTCGACTAATCAATATACTTTTGACGTTTTTAGTAACATGTCATTCCATTTATCTGATAATTGTAACGGATTAGAGTAAATAATGGAAGACAACTGATAATTTTAATTTTCCACTTATCTGACTATCAAAAATGGATGTTTGATAGTTAATTTTATCGTTCTCCTATTTAATTTTAGTCAAATATTGATTATTTTAGAAGAACTCAATGTGTAAAGAATTGAAAGATGAAGAAACCAATAAACAAATAAGAAGGGACTTGAGCTGAACCAAAGAGAACATTCATGAACTAAAGTTAACTGAGAAGCAAAGTTCTAACCTTTCGCAAGATTTGAACCATGCGATCACGAGAAGGTAAAATTTAGAGTCAACATGTTATGGGTGGGTGGGCTGGTCCTATAATTGTCGGGGCTCGAGACGAAGTCCATAAATTAGGCTCCCCCCAACGAAATCAACGTAAATGCAAAATTCAACGATGTATTATGCGATCTATTGCTAACTTAAAACTAACATTAAAATAACCAAATATATTTTAGAAAAGATATATATTACAAAATAACAAAACCAACGATTCGTTAAATACTATTCTTTGAATTAATGCAATTTCATTTTGTTTCATTTTTCTCTTTTGAGCACCAGACTCAAATCTAGGTGGTATAGTGTATAAGTCTATATCACTATATGTAATGCCCAATGATTAACCTAAAAAACGATTACAAAACATCTCATTCATTTCACAATTATAGTTTTCAGTACAGTTACTATGTGCGCCTCTAGAATTGTTCATCCTACAATAAACAGTCATATAAGCCAACCAGGCCGCAATTATATAAGCCGACAAGGCTTCATACATTTCCAATCTCTTCAATAATAAGTTAGGACAAGCCATTGCTTACCTAAAAAGTAGAATTTCGATGAAAATTGTGGAAATACACCCCAATACGAATATGAATATGATCATCAAACTTAGGGAAATAACAATTGCAAAGGCACATTTAATCAAACTTAGGGAAATATTACATTTAATAAGAACTAATCACCATTAAAACAGTGTCGTCGACCAAATACATTACTTCAAATTTATCTTTTATGTTATGGGACAAACACACGGAAGCAATTTACCTATTTACATAAATTTATACCTTCTAACATTTTTATCTTGAAATGCCTTGAGTGAATTAGCAAGGCAAACAACTCAAAAGAAACCACTTATTTACTTCCTATTTTTTCATGAAACGAGTAATTGTCCAACATTTTTCTAGTCTTTCTTATATACTTCTTCGATTTCACATAGCCACGTCTAGTCCACTACCCACTCCTTCCTTTCCTTAGGACATGTTAACCATACAAGTAAAGCAACAGTTAATTGCAAATCAAGGCCTCGACCACGTCACTGTTCTGTAACGTATAGTCGAGGCACTAACGGACACTTTTGTTAAAATTCCAACGCTTTGTATACCCAAGAAATTACTCTCACTCAAGCAATTCAAATCCAAAGCATTTAAGAGTATACTCACTCACAATTCACAAGCTTCCTGTTTTCTTTGTCTTCATCCTGGGAATCTTGCTGCAATTACAGAGTAGTAGAGTACAGACCATCTGCAAAGTGCAAAGATAACGTTAAAAAAAAATATTGTGAGATTCAAGATTTTTCATTTCATGTGACCAACTGACCAGTGACCATGTCAACAAATCTGTAGGCACTAGGCAGACATGAGGCGCCGAAACGAAAATGGGACAATCCCATTTGGAAAAACATGATAAAGACGAGTGCTTTACTTACTGCTTAATACAATGAAAACCCATTTGGAAAAACATAATTAACAACAACAAACCTGTTTCCAGATTCCTAATTCTTCATGTAAATGATGGTGTGTTCTTCCTCAATGATTGAAGTTTCCTCGTTTGTCCAATCCTAACAACAGTGACGAACCGGCGTATGGAGCGACCGGCGGCTGACTGGCGGAGTGACCGCAGTCGCGGAGACGAGACAGAGACCAACAAGCAGGCCCTGGGATTACGGAATTGGGAATTTCAGATTTGGGGAATTTTGGGTATATGGACTGTGGATATATAAGTTGGGTTGGGTAAATAGATTGGGGGATAGGATTTGGGCTTGTGAGTTGTGGGCTGCTGTTGGATAATCGGGTTTGGCGGCCTTGTTTTGAAAAATAAAATGGAAAAAAAAAAAAGATTCTAGGCCAAAATTAGGCTTGGGCCTAAGACGCAGACCTCATTGGCCTCGCCTCAAGATCGGGCCTATGGGTTCTGATCATGCTATATCAGCCCATTGAATCATGTGATTGCTTCATTGGGTGAGACATATAAGATTTTTCTTTCCTAGTTAAATTAGACTTCTACATGGAAGGAGAATGTGACAAGAGTTTTGCCCAAATTTTAAAACTACCAAAGTGAATTTTCTAACATTCAAGAAGGGAGATGAAGCTTTAGATTCATAAGCACATAATCATACACAAATTCAACACCTACACTTGAATTTTGAAAGAAAATTAGGAATCCGATCGTTCAAGAATTGTTGAAGAGATTCATGAGATTCAAGAGTTATTTTTCGATGTATTATTATTTCCAATCGTGTTTGTATAATTTTATGAAGCTCACAACTGTATAAATACTATGATAATGATATTGAACCCTATATTTTGTTGTTTTAATGTTAATTTCAAGATTTTGATGGTAATTACTTTTATTAGCTTGAAAGGTTTATCTTATTAATACTTTCAATTATTTGAATTGTGATTGAATATATTTCTGATTTCTATTTTGTTCGAGAGAATGAATAAGAATTGTAGTACCTAGTAATAATCATTATAAAGTCCGATAATTGATGGAGATATACCGTTATACTTTGTATTATCTTATTTTGAATTTTTTCAGATTTAATTTATTTTCTTTTGTTCACATCATTCATAAATATATAGTAGGGTCATATATGAGGATAATTATAAAATAACTAGAGAGATTTTACTAAAATGGAAGAATAAATGGAGATTCAAGATCATAGTGATTTTAATAAATTGAGTTTTCATATACATATATGAGGATAATTATAAAATAACTAGAGAGATTTTACTAAAATGGAAGAATAAATGGAGATTCAAGATCATAGTGATTTTAATAAATTGAGTTTTCATATACGTCTTATAGTTTAGTTTATAAGTTTTATAATTATTTAAGTTATAGAATCTAATTTGTAATCACCAATCTCAAGAAACTTGTATTTTGATTAAAGTTAGTATTAATCTGAATCTTGCAATGCTCATGAGTACTATCTTTGGTTCATCCTTTATGACATGTCTTGATACCATATACTTGCTATATTTTAATAAACAAGAAAGTTTAGGATTGGTTGGAAAACATCATTGAAAGTATATCGATTATTCAGAAGAAAAAAATTTAGCCTCTATTGGACAAAATTTATAGACCATATTTAAATGATCAAACTTAATTTTCAATTTTCAAGAACATGTTTCAATGAATTCACAAGTACAATTTATTTGTAGTTAATTTGTAATCACCAATCTCATGAAACTTGTATTCAGTTAGTATTAATCTGAATCTTGCAATGCTCATGAGTACGATCTTTTTTTATGATACCATATATTGCTATATTTTAATGAACAAGAAAGTTTAGGATTGGGTGGAAAACAACATTGAAAGTATATCGATTATTCAGAAGAAAAAATTTTAGCCTCTATTGGATAAAATTTATAGACCATATTTAAATGATCAAACTTAATTTTCAAGAACGTGCTTCAATGAATTCACAAGTATGCTTCAATGAATTCACAAGTACAATTTATTTATCCACTACTCATTTTTATTTATTTATAAATTAGACTATATATAAATTCTTCCTAAATAGAGGCTAATATATTAACTCTCACTTATTGAGACATTTTCTAAAATGCATAATAGGACATTAATAGATGTCGTGTAAAAAATTACACATCTATATTATTTTCTCTTAATGTAATAAACTTAATTAAAGTTAAAAGGAGACCACAAAAAATAATAATAATAATAAAGTGTTGAATTTTGTGGTAGAAATGTTACTAGTTACTATAGTGGTAAAAATTAGTAGAAATTATATAATTCTAGGTGTTTAAAGATAACAATTCAAAATTACATTGAAGTTTCTTTATTCACAAATCAAGTTCCCTTCTATCAAAATCCTAATTCATTTCCATAATTACCTCTCTCTCTCTCTCTCTCTCTCTCTCTCTCTCTCTCTCGTTTGTGAGCTCATTGGCTCTATCCACTCTCTCTGTACCAATCTGACAATCAGGAATTCCTCATCTTCCCGTCGTTGCCATCCACCCTCATCGTCCAGCCCCATCACCTATACTCAATCCATATCATCCTAGAAGGAGCATGAATCGTCGGCCAAAAGGAGCACGAATCACCGCAAGTTGCGGCGTTATTTTACCCATATTGTGCGTCTGCAGATCCATCCTTCTTTCTTTTTTTAAAATTTTTGAGTGGTGTAGTGATCGACCGCTCGATGGTGCAGGTATACGATGCCATGATGGTCTCAGGTGTACAGTGCGCGATGATGTGCTACTATGGTGCTGTAGGTGCGATAGTGGTATGGTGTGGTGGTACGATGGAGGTAGAGGTGTGTGGTGCAGTGGTTGGGTACGTACAATACGTGGTGTTGTACTGTGAGTGGTGTGCAGTGGTGGCTCTGACAATGTGTAGTGGAGTTGACTGATTTTCGTGATGTGATAGGAATGGCTTTAGCAGTGGTAGTGCTGGTGCGGTGTAGGGAATAGTGGTTATGCTAGTGGTGGTGCGGTGTTGAGAGTAGTGGTGGTTTTTTTTGCTGGAGTCGTGGTGGTCGTTGTGTTTTGGTTGTGTTGGGGATTTTGGTGGTTTTTGTTTGTAGTAGAACTGGCGGCGGTGGTAGTGTCGATGGCGAGATGGTGGTCAACGGTTGTGTGGTGGCGTGGTGCAGGTGACGATTGTGTTTTGGTGGTCATTTTTGTTGTTGTTAGCAATGGTCGTGCTGGTATTGTGGCAGGGTGGGGTGTAATAGTATTGTGACCAAATAGTTGGTTGATTTGTGACCAAATATTGGTGGTGGATTGGGATTGGGGTGGAATGTTTGGTGTATGTGACCAACGATTTGGTTCTTCGTGATTAACTATTAAACTGTGACCTTAAAATTCGATAATTTGTGAATAATTTGTGACCAACAAATTTGAAAATATGTGATCAATTGATAAATTGTTACCTATAATTTTTTTGGTCTGTGACCTATAAATTTTTTTATTTATAACCTCGAAATGTGACCAATTTATTTGATAATATGTGCCCAATAAATAAGTTGGGACATATAACTATGTATATGTGACCATTAATTGTATAATTGTGACCTTCTTATATTTAATTAATCAGTATTTTAATTAATTAGTTATTACCTTTTTTTCATTTTTTTCATTTTTTAAACTTAAAAACCTGATTTTTGAATTGTCCATACTTAATACATGACTTATGATTTTTTCTCCAAAAATTATTCCACTAACCTAAGCGGCTCTGTCATGAAACAAGGCCTACGAATGGCCCACTTAATAAACACTACCTTTGGCCCAACTCGCTAATGCCAATTGACTCGAGTCGCAATCCAAGACCCATGAGTCAATTTGAAACCTCCGACATTCTATCATCAAGCAATCAAGATTTACAATGCTATGATTAGATTGAATCAAACGCAAATTAAGTTTAACTTGGGGGTGGTGATTTAGTAGCAGTAGGTGGCAAAGTGACTTTGTTAACTATTCTGTTAGGAACTGTGGATTTTTTGATACATCACATCTATGCATTTATGATTCATGTCATACTATTGTCCGAATGTTACACAGGCATTTGCCTCTGTTCAATACATAATGATGGAAGCTAAACTGAATGATTAGTTCAAATTTAGCTACATCCACTCACAAAATCTCGAAGAATCCTTGAGAATCCCGTCTAGATGATTACCCCACTCTTATAAATTTTATGGTCAGTCAAGCATCCATGTATCCTCAATTACCCTTCTCTGAAGTCTGAACTATATCTTCTTACTTTCCATCTAGCACTCATATAATTCTCGACAAGTTTTACTAACTTAACCGTTGGAGGGTCTTTGACCGGTACCACACCGGTGTCTGCTTAAGATCTTTAACGGTCTTTTTTTTTTTTTGGTCTACTTTTCTTGAGTTTTGTAGGAATGCTGATAGTCCGATCAGTTCGAGTTTCTCTATTGTAGAACTACTACCTATAGTTGTTGAAATAAAACTTGAGCGATGAGTTTTGGTAAAAAAGAAAAAAAAAAGTAGAACGGCTAAGATGAAATTTTGTCGAAAATTTCGTGATCTCTATTTATCTATGGGGTAAACTATTGTCAAGAAGAGTCACATATGAAAATATTCCAGTCATATAGTAAATAATATCAGATTTTTTGATGGAATTATTATTGGTGACGAGGTTGAAATTAAATTTCAGTGATGAGCTTGTAAAAAAAGTTGAATAGAGTAAAATTTTGTGAAAAGTTAGTAGACCTTAAGTGTTTTTACACAACCCTGACATTGTTTTGCAAAAGAGTAATGATATGTAACTCCACTGGGTTGCAATCCCGATTTAGATGACATTAAATGATAGGTTAAATAAAATATGAAATTAAATGAGTTATTTAATTCTGTCTATCCACTAATGCCACATTATTGCCACCTAGACTGAGATTGCATCCTCAATGGGGCTAAATAGCATTACTTTTTGATAAATGATGCGATTAAAATCTTTTCTTTCACATTTTCTCTTAAAAACCAGTCATTTTCTGATTTTTATGGAGTTGCGCCAATGTGAAAACAACGTAAAGGAAAGGGAAGCATTCCGTCTATCAATCATTAATTTAAATTAATCCAGTGGTTAAGATACTTCTATACCAAACAACATTCTCCCACTCCGCTTCGCCCTTATCATTTCTATCTGCCTCCTTTCCATTCTCCCTTTCTCTATAATAAAGAATCACAATGCTCTCTTTGTCCCACTGTATA